GATCGAGCCACATGGTGAAACCTGTCAACTCACGAAAAGGCTCTCTAGATGGGTCGACACGTTGATGGGAAGTAGCAAAAGTGCAAAATGCTTTCCCCCTCGTCGCCGAACTGCGCCCAGAACTTGTGTGACAAATGAATTTACTGTATATTGTATATGGTATGTGTATATTTTGGGTCCTACAGCATAGACCATAACCGCACCTAATTACCACTGAATGGAAGTATACTCGAAATCCCTGAGATCGGGTAGGCGTGGCTGCACACTTAATTTCTAAAGTGGCGGCGGCCCCAGGTTTTCGTGAGATATTTTCATTTTGCAACAGTCGTAATCATGTCTACATCTAACACAGAACAAGATGGCAGCTGTTTCAAATTGAAGCATCCCACGCGTAACCCGTCCTATGCCATGCTCAAAAGCCACGCCTACTCCGTCTCAGGGATAAGGAGTGTAGCAGTGAGATTGGGAAGCACAAAAGGCGATACCCTCCATGTGCTTTCCTTTTTCTGAAATCACAACTCGCAGGCCAGAGTCGTTGACGACCTCAGAACTGCCGCAGCATCGCCACTTTACGTCCGATGAAGCTCGATGCACAGGTCAGTGTTGTTGTCGTAGGATTACTTAACATTGGCGATATGGAAGGTTTGGTTGAGTTGGAAGGGACTACACCGGAAGCTGGTCTTCAAATCGCCAATATCTACGCCATGGATAGAAAACTGTGATAGTTACGATCCGTTTTGAAGGAGGTAAGAGTCCGCCGTAAAATGTCTGCTGTTTTTGTTCTAGTTACTCTTCAATGAATCTAGTTCTAAGGAGAACATCCGAAGATAGACGTAGACATTAACTCCTGTAGACTTGGCATTAACTAGTATATAGGACCCATTCATTATTTGAGCAAAATTGCACCTCAGTAATGGTTATGATAATAATAGCGGTCTCCGTCCCCTGTCATTGACACCCACTGATTAAGGGTGTAAGTATGGGTTTAAATCGAAACATGATCATAGGTTCTATACCCTACAGAAGAAGACGCCTTCAATTTTTCAGCGGTCCCACCTATCGTCACGCCGGAGTGGTATTAACGCTAGTGCGTTTGAAAAACTAATAAAATATCATACTTTACAGATTTCTTTACATCTGTTTACATTCGGAGGGCTAAAATCGCGATGAACGAGTTCATGAGATCTGCTGGCAATATGGAAGCCTTAGCTGTGACACAATAAGGAAAGCATAGGCGTAGAGCTTTTGGCTCCCATCAATACCTTTTTGGTTTTCAGCTACACCATGCACTCGTGTTTCATCCGAAAGTACTGCAGCGTTTTGAAGCCGTTTGGCCTTTTCAATAGCTCGCGAGGTTAACTGGATATTCAAGTCGGTGTTTTCATCCCACCAAATGACCACCTTGTGGAATGGGAGGCTACGCTTCCCATGATGAGAAGCGAACCGAAATTGAAGCATGAGCCTTAGGCTGCAACATCTTCTCATTGCATAGTGGTCTCAACTATAAGAACACTCCCTCGCCCTCATCATTCAGTCCCTTGTCCGGACTACCAATGTTTCTTAACCGTATGTTCAAAATCAGTTGCCAAGATAAGGACTTTTTTGAGACACGCTTGACGGTTTCATTACTCATTCAGTGGCGAGCCACTTGTCAGACACCTCGGACGTCACTTACATACTCATATCTGGACCGTTTTAGTTCCGAGCACTACTCCCCTCTAGCGCCACCCTTAGGATGGGCTTTCTGGGCAGTTGCCATTGACCAAATAGGTGACTGATCAGATTACTTTACTGCCCAGAACTGAACTGGAAGTGGTCATTAAAAGAAGTGGCAACGAATCAACCAAAGAGAAATAGCTAAAAAACCGTCAAGTGAAATTCTCACTTCCGTAAACAAGTCTCAGAGTTGTTCGAAAATTACACAAGGAAATTAGGCGATGATGAGAGTTCTTGCTTGAAAGCATCCCTTTGAAGCACTGTTGTAACCTGTTTCCCTACACTGGCTCCTTTTTCATCAGTGACTGAAAACTCTATTGATCTTGTCGTAAAGAACGGGAATGATCTAGAGCGGTTTCCCAAGCAGCGCAATCCCTGTCCCTGCGATGGACGGACTTTTGAGGGCTCGTGGGCCCTTAGAGTTTATTTTTGGGATGTATGGGATATGTGGTCCACCTGACTGCACGCTCAGATATAGATTCAAACTGGGTTGATAACTACCGATTTCACAAGTTCAAGATACTGTAGTTGTTAGTCTCGCGCTGTTCATGGCCCATGGAGGGGAATAGAATTCTCTTCCATGGTTCATGGAAGAGAATAGAATTGCTCAGCAGTCAGGCGTTGTGCCCTGAGTGACAAAGTGTGCGGTAAACTCCAGAGACTATCCTCTATGTGAGCAAGGTGCATGGGTCCGTAGCTGCAGTACCGTGTGCCGTGTGAGTATTTTCCGTTCTAAAGTGTTCGGGAACGGGCCGCAGGATAGGTATGCCCAATGCCGTACCCTGGCCCCGCCGGTGCTAACCTCAAGATGAAGCTTAGCTAGAAGCGAAGTTCAAATAGGAGGTCTATTTGCTTGAGTGTAGGCACATCTTCGAATTTGTGAAAGGGTCTGACGCTTTCATGAGACCTTGGCCACTTTGGGTTTGGAGTAGTGAGGCCAAAGTAGCTGAATGCATGTCTCATTCCTCACGGTTGAAGTGGGGCTAAGTTACGCTGTATATGAGGAATGATCAATGTGGTAGGAGTCTTTGTGAGGTCAAGAGAAGTCAGCGGGTCGCTAGAAGGAGCTCAAGCCGAAGATTCCACAAAGACGTTCACGAGAAGGGCCTCGGAGCCGTCGTTTATGTTGAACAAGAGGTAAGAAAGCATGTG